AAATCTCTTAGTCGCACTTCAGCCTCTTGCCGGCGGTTCTATCAAACGCGCTGACGTAACAGTAATAAAAATTATAACTTACCGCTTCGCCATGAATGACGATACAGAATCAAGAAGCAAAATATAGACGTGCGGTCTCTCATCATCTTGTAATTTCTGGGAGCTGAAAGATCCCTATAAAGTAATATCACTCATCACTCTGTAGTCGCAGCGGACATTAGACGACTTCGCTGGACTAGCACAACGGGCAAGATAACTAAACTTCAGCATTAATGTGGTTTGTCGAGATGAGCTAGGCGCGACGCGAGCCCTTTTCTCTTTTTTTCTTTTTGGCGAGTGACGAGACTGTATCATAGCGGTCACTTCAGTCGCTTTCCACCAGTTGCTGTCGGTCACTCGCTTCAACAACTGGTGGAGAATGGGTTGGCGGCTTTACCTACAGGACTTCAAGGTTGATTAACACATTTACTCAAAGCGTTATGCTGATGGATCGCCCTTACACAAGGAATTTCACTTACCCAGTCTCATAAATCTGCGTATGAAGGTATGACTCGTTATTGGAGAATAAATTGCCATTGCTGCACTGCGATTCGATAATGTCACACCTGAACGTTTCGTTCGATGGGAGGTTGATCCAGGGATCAGCATTGTACTTGCTATCGTGATCATTGTAAAGACACCTGTAATGCTCGATTTTCAGAGAGGTAATCAAGAAACAATGCACGGAAACCCTCGCAAAAACGGCATAATTGACTGATTGGTTCAAGGAAAAATCCCTTCGAACTGCGTAGTTTCCAAGGAAGAACATTGATCCTTTCAGTGTTATTTTCGTGAAGTGGATCAACACTACGAAAGTCCCATGTTTCTGGAACTACAATGAAAGGCTCGAGGCAAAAGTGGGTAGGTGGTGGCAAGCGGAATCGCTACTGCAATCATGGCCCGAAAATCGAAGCCTGGGTCGATTACCGCACCGACTGCCCCAATTAACCTATACTGCTGGCTCAATATTCGGTAAGAGAGGCGACTTGGAATCCGAGGTATTGAGAGATCTACACTTTCCCTTTCATGGAAGGACGGAGAAGGATAAATCCTTCAGCTCAAATGCACTGACTATCATATTGGCTTGTGGAATTTATGGTGTAGGTCAACGCATACAAAGAGGCACAGCGGCGGAACTGCGGGTCATCGCTGCGATTCTAGTGGAATAAGAAAACTTCTCGAAAGAATGTCGCAACTTGCAGAGCATTCGTATCCTTCCGCTTTTTCTGTAGTTCTCAGTAATCCCTCTTCGAGGACCGTCAAAGGTTCATATGGTGTACATCCCTGAAAAATTCAGCAGATAACCTCTTCATCCTTAAAGGGAATAAGTTGTACGAAAAAGAACGAAGATGTGTTTTTGAACATTGGGGATACGTCTGCAGGGCATGTGACCGTAGGACCACGCAGCGTCGCGCGCAATGATTGCAAATACCTATGGTTACTATCGGCGGTTCGCGATGGTTGTGCTATCGCGAGCGCGGACAACTCCCGCATAGGCCAACCATCTACCATCCGGGGACGGTAAGTTGGTACCAGGCTCGTCTGGGAGGATGAACCCTGACTTGTTCATCGGCTGGCCGATGATACAGGCCACATCGCATTCAATAAGCCACTACGATTCTGAATGGAAGTAGAATGCGTGCCGCATCCCACAAAGCGGATTGATCAACAGGCGAAGACTTTGTCATTTTATTTTAACTCGCGAGCACAATCTGTGCCGGCAAGCACGCAGTACCTGCAGATTGTAGCGCACGCGACGTCGCACGGTCCTAAAGACCCTCCCCATCTTCACAGAGCACAGAATACAGTCTTGTTCGCTGCGAATGCTGGGGCGGGTCGAAGGTGCTGGCTTTGGCGTTTTCCACCAACTTTTGTCGTTTGCTAGTTTCAATGATTTGTGGAAAACGGGTTGGCGCCCGCCAAATCTAGCTCGCCCAGCACACCCCAGGATTAGCAGCGAACGAGACTGTTATCATCCACTACTTTCGTCAGAGTTCCAGAACAAAAATTCACCAGTAAAC